AGTACATTAAGTTGTCAGGATGGTTGAGTGGTCTAAGGCGCTGCGTTCAGGTCACAGTCTGGTTCTGCAGGCGTGGGTTTGAATCCCACTTCTGCAATCATTTTTTCATTTTTGTTTTTTGTTTTTTTGTCCGCACTGCGGACGCTCTACTACTTGATATTAAACTTACTCTCAATAAGTGCTGTAAATACAGGTTGCTCCAATAAATGCTCTGGCATATTTTCACAATTTTGAATTCCTCCTTTGCTGGAATATATCAGAGACTGGCAATAATTTGCAATTATGGAAATATATGAAAAGAAAAATGGGGAACAGAAGGAGAAAACAGGGGTGGGGGGATCTTGGATTTCCCCCTGATTTTTTGAAATGAGACAGGAATGCATGAGACAAGGCTTAAGGGATAGTGGTTCATTGTTGAGTGTTAAAGACTATAGGTTATGGGAAGGATTATTAATAGGATCAACCAAATAACAAAGCTCTCCAAATTGTCCCTTTACCCCCTCCCTTTCTTTGGCCCAGCCAATATTAGAGGCCAGCTGCTATATCCCCTTGAACTCACTTTGAGACCCAGAGTTTATTATAGAGACTGGCATCTAATGGAGACCTAGCATTTATCAGAGCATTTACCATATGCTTGTAAAATGATGGCCAGTATCAATATACTTAATCCTCAATTTATATGCACAGGGATACATGAGTGCATTCTTCAGACACTGGTATGCTGTGGGCCTCCATTCAAGCATATACTGTGTACACAATACAATTCTAGCATGTTTTTAACAATCAATAGGTTTACTAAGGAAAAATTTGAGTTCAGTAATCTGCAACAATGATGAACATCCCTTTTGATGGTTCACATTGGTACCTTGTACCACCAACATAAGTTGTTCAAACTTGATGTTTGTTATTTGACAATTTGTTCATTGCATAAATTTGGTTCATACTCATTTTTATGGAATGGTCATAGTGCAAAAGTTATATGTTGTATTATGTACCCCTCCATTGTATTGACTTTTAGGGAATTATAAGTGTACATGCATAAGAATATGTGTAACTTCATCTTTGCAATGGGATTCCATCATCTGTTGCTTTTTTTTCATATGGTTGGAAGGACTAATACAGTAAAATCTCGTTACAACAAATACCGTTACAACAAATTTTTCATTACAACAAACTTTTTTTCAAGTCCCGGCAGAAAGCCCATAGACCATATGTTGAAGAAATCTTGTTATAACAAACTTGGGAATTCCGTTATAACAAACTTTTTTTGAGAAAATTTTTTCATTTTTGTGGAATAATTAAAAATAAATTTGTGGAAAATTTTTTGAAAACTCATCATTGAAGCCTGAATAAAAGTAGGTTTTGATAAAGGACAGAAATGCTTCAAAATCTTGTTGGATCCACCCAGGAGAGAGAGTTTTCTGCCTCTCATTAAAACAACTGCCCATGAACACTGCAAAAAGTCCCTTGCCAGGGGTGTAGGATTGTTTGGACATCTTGGGGTTCATAGAAACACTGCCATTTCTGGTAGATGTACAGAAATGATGCTCAAAAAAGAAAACCTGTTCCATCAGAATAACCTTGCTAATTGACTTTGGTAGGATGCATTTTCTGGAATCTACCAAATCAAACTACAAGGGTTCTAACAAAAGTTCTTGGAGTAGCAAAAAAATGGCCTACAGTTGAGCTGAAAAAAGTTTTTGTTAGGAAAAACACATTATTTGGCACCCAAAAAAATATCGGCCCTGTTTTTCCATTTGTTAAAAATTTTTTTAATTCTCCCTGGCAAAGTTTTGATTTCCATTTTAAAGATGAGGCGCCCTTTTTTTATGTGTCCCAGCTTTCCCTTCAGAATTTTGGAAATCAACTTGGCATTCTTTCTAAGGGTTGCCTCCAGGTCATCCAAGGCAATTCCGCCATTTTCATCAACAGCTGCCTTCACAGCCACCAAAGTGGCAGCCAATGTGGCATCTGTGAAGGTGGCTGTTGATGAAAATGGCGGAATTGCCTTGCATGACCTGGAGGAAGCCCTTGGGAAAAATGCCAAGTTGATTTCAAAAATTCTGAGGGAAAAGATGGGCCTCAACAAAAAAGGGCACCTCATCTTTTGAGTAGAAAGCAAAACTCTGCCAGGTTGAATGAAAAAAATTTTTTATTCTAAACAGGGCTGATATTTTTTTGTGTGCCACAGAATATGTTTTCCCTGAAGAATAAATTTTTTTCAGCTTAATTTTAAGCCATTTTCATTGCTACTCCAAGAACTTTTGTTAGAACAGTTGTATGAACCAGGAAGTCCACAGAATTCATCCAAACATCCTGCCTGGGAACAGTTCTTCAGCTTTGACTTTCAAAGAATTAAAGTGAATGAGCCCTCTGAAAAGATTTTGAAAATGCATGCACCATTAATTGCTCTATGAGGTTCCAGTCCATCCTGGGACAGTGACTGTTAAACACTCTTTTTTTGTACACAGTTAAGTGTTTTACACTTCAGTTCTGGATGCTGCGGAATCGTGAGAATTGTGTGAAAAAAGTTCTGGTGAAAATTACTGATCACATAATCAAGCCACACAAATTAATGGTCATTTCAAGTTGTGTGCTTTTCAACTTTTGTGCATTTTTTCCATCACTTGCTTTTTTGCTGTGTCTTTACAGTAATGATTATAAGCTGGATGTACAGGGTGAAAAAAAATCATTGTAAATTCTTTGCCAGAATATTTGCATTGTTGGCAGCAGTGAACAAGAAATTTGTTCAGAAGAAAATTACTGATTTTTTACACCAATAATGAGAGTTCTGAAACTGAAAGACAAACTTGATTCTGAATATTTGCAGATCTGAGCTAAAAAAATGTTTCCAGTCATTAATATTGAAAATCTTGTTACAACAAATTATTTGTTATAACAAACTTTTTTGAAAGTCCCCACAAGTTTGTTGTAACGAGATTTTACTGTATACAGAAGCATACCTGCATTGACTGCCCTGAGAACACATTGCTTCTGCAGCATCCTAGCCCTGGTTTTGATCTTGTCCCTCTGGTGGTAAATCCCAAAGAAGATGCATGCATTCAGCACCAATATGCAAAGTCCTGCCCCAACAACTAAACTCCAAGCTGTGACAGTGCCTCCCCCAACCCAGGCAGTGACTGTTTCATTCCTGCCACCTCTGTTGTGGCCCCTCTGGGACCCAAACCTGGACTGAAGGTTCCTTTCATCCTCTCCAGGTGTCACTTCATGGTCATGTCTCAAAATAGGGGGTGGCAGTTGAGGGGGCAGAGGAGGAGGGAATCTGGCCCTGGGTGGGTATAAATGGACAGCCTCTGATGATGAAGAGGGGTCTTTGTGTTGACGTTGTCCTGCTCTGAGCAACTGGGGAATCAGCTTCAACCAGAGTGCCATCTCATTTGACTTGTAGTGCATGTTGTTGGCATTCATATTCAGACCTGAGTAGGAGAAAAAGTGTGTCAGAGCAATTAAAACACATGATCATATGGCACCATAATACAATTATGCATATAAAAAGTATATATATTCAATATAATCCTTCATACTCAGTTCCAGGAATTGGGATTGAAAATAAGACCAGTGACCCCAACCTTTGTTGGGAACTCATACCAGAAAATTTCCAAATTTTTTTGTATACTGGGTACTGGCAAATTTCAAGAAAAATAATTCCTTTTGGACCTAAACAGCTTCATAAAATGTTTGCAGGCTCAAAAAAGTTTTGTTTGTACAACTTAAATCTGAAAAGTGTCTGCTATTTATGCAAAAATTAAGTTCAGCAGAACCAATGAAGCGGCTCAACGAATGACTTTAAAAAATTAGGAAGCTGGGCTTGAAAAAAGGTTCCTCAGGATGAAAAATTAGGATGATTTATTTCAGCAGGTGAAAATCAGTCTGACGCTTTATTGGGAGAAAAGCCAACTTTTGTGTTTCATCAGATAATTTAAATTATTGCTGTTATCTTTCCAGAATGTCATTCAAAGATAACAGACTTCATTGTAACTTTCAATGAATTTATTAGGCTGAAGAAAACTGGTCTAGACCAATGCTGGTCTGCAAATCATGAGTTGGAAACACTGCTGGTCTAAGACCTCATCATGGTAGAATTCTGAGGAATTTTTTTTAAAATGAATCACTCATGCTTCAAGGCTGAAACAGTACATATGGATGCAATGTAACTTGAGTCTTGATGTTATTATTCTTGATTAAGCCTATTATTATTAATATTCTAGGTCCATATATACAGTGGCCCCCGCCTAACAGACCTCCCGTGTAAGGGATTTTTGCTAAACAGACCAGCTCTACAAGCAGTTTTTCCTCCCGCCCAACAGACAAAATCCACCAAACAGACTTCTTTTGGTTTAAAATTAGTGCTGAAAATTGAAATTTTTAATTTTTTATGTAATTGAATTTGTGTAAAGGACTTTTTGTCTAACTGACTTGTCCCTTGCACAAATCAAGTCCGTTGGACGGGGGTTGACTGCAGTTGCAAGATTCCACATAGCAAATTTCTGATAATGTTGAGTGAATGAAAATCTTACCCAATGACATATAACGTTGTGAATGAAGAGAATATCTTGGCCAGATGACTCTGTCACTCCTCAACCTGGACCTTGTTTTAGGTTTCCCTCCAAGTCTTCTTGAAGCTTGAGGATCAATCAAAGATCTTGGTGGAATATTTGGGTCTCTGAAATAACAAAGATCTCACATGAAATGAATTCTTGTGGAATGGTTAAAAATTATGTCTCACCCAGTCCTGGCAAAGTTGGTTACAAAAGCCATGAACATTTGAGATAAAAAGCTTTCTGGTACAGTGAAGTTGCTCTGGAAGTGATTGGCTCCAACTGGTCCTTCCAGTGGAACTCCAAATAGATAAGGTAGTTCCTCCCCATGTATACAACCAAATTTCTGCATAAACACAAATTTGTTAGGCTTTATAATAAATCAAGTATTACTGCTGGAAATACTCACAGTTGAATAGTCTCCAAATTTGGATTGATGTGCAAAAACATAAAAGTAACTTTTTGGATTCTCTGCAGCATGGAAATTTGCCATTTCAACTTGACCTGCTACATAAGTGGAGTCTGTGAAAATATCCATTGCTGTGTCTCTGGTTGAGTCCCTGTCAACATCCATCTTCTTCCAGTTTGTATAATCAACCATAACAGCTAAAGGAAATGGATTTTGAATGTTTTTTGATATAACCAACCATCAAAGTTTAAATTTCTTCACCTGCCAGGATTTCTTCTGACTTCATAACATAATTGCTCTTTATGAAGGAGTCAACCATTTTATCTCTTCTTCTCTCTTCCATCCCATACCTTTAAAAAAATGAATAGTCTCAATTCCATGGTAACCATAATTTCCTTTTTATCACTTTATGACAATGGCATATTTACTCAAGTAGCTCATGCACCACTTATTTGAGAGGAAAAAGGGTTGCATTTCATAAGTAGGGTTACATTTCAAAAAAGTTGTAGAAGCTAAGAGCAGATTATATTTGATTTTAATGTTTAATTTTAGATCAATTTCAACAGAAAAGCAGAATCTCAATGGAAATTATTGAATATTCCATTTCCCCCGCTCTACGGACTTCATTTGTGCAACATATTAGTCTGTTGTGTGAAAAGTCTGCTGTAAATATGCCATTATTAGAAATTGAAATTTTTACGCTTCACTATTAATTCTAAACCAACAGAAGTCTGCTATGCAGATATAGTCTGTTGTGCAGGAGGGAAAATGCCTCCAGAGGTAGTCTGTTGTGTGTGGGGCAACTGTACTTGATTTCAGGATCAATTCATGTATATATATTCAAATGTTTGTGCTCTTACTTCTCAAATATTGCATTTTCAGAGTCACTAAAAATGGGGTGCATGTCTTAGTTGGAGATAAAATTTTATCAACATTTTTGAATGAAAACCCCTGTTGAGTGTCTTACTCAAGGGCACATATGGTACTTGAGTTAATATGGTAAATTGAAAGACATCTGAGTTCATCCTTATTATACCTGATGTCAGTGTCATCAAACATGAAGTAGCTTTCTGCAGAAACAACACCTTGCATGACATCATACCTGGTTCAAAAAGAAAAGCATCTATAATGTACTATGCTGAAAGCATGTACTGTATAGTGAAATTTGCATGATTGGTCAAACCTTGAGAGCATGTCAAGGTAATTTTGAATGCTTCTCCTGGGTGGAGCTTGAATAAGTACTCCATCCACAACAGGCCCAAAAGCTGTTGTAAAAGATGGAAGCATGACCCTTGAAGCTGCTGCCAAGAGTTCTTCAACAGACCTTGTTCTCAAACAATCTGCTAACTCTTCCTTCCTTTGTTCTTCCACAGGGCAACTCACTTGATTGGCAATTTGCATTGTCACACTGATGGGGTCTGGGACCAGAGCCCAGGGTGTCAGTGCTGAACCACTCATCAAGACTACTCTCTGGAAAAGCCCTGAAAATCAGCATATTTTAAAATTAGAAAAAAATCAGGGAGTTCTTTTAAATGCATTTTTGTAAGTTGAGTTACCTTTGATCTGATGAGCAACAGTTGATGTCATCAAGAGATTAATGCATGCAGCTCCTGTGCCATGACCAAGTAGAGTCACATTGCCAGGGTCTCCCCCAAAGTTCTTGATGTTTTCCTGGATCCATTCCAGGGCTGCAATTTGGTCCCATAGTCCAAAGTTGGCTTTTGCCCCAGCATTCACTCCAGTTCTCAAGAACCCTTTGGCCCAAAAATAATAACATCTTCACCTTTAATTTCACATCACTTGAATATGAATCTGCTGATTATCTCACCAAAGATGCCAAGTCTGAAGTTGAAAGTGATAACAACAACTCTTCCAAATGATGACAGGACTGTGCCATCATAAGGGTTCCCTGAATTCCAGTCATAAGACTCCCCATGGAAAAAGACAATAACAGGGTTCTTATTGCTCATGTCAGAAGATTCCTGTGGTCTTTGTTTGTCTTTTGGCAATGCATTGGGAAATGATGGATCTTGCCAATATGGAGACTGGGGAGAGTTTGGTGGTTGTTCAATGCTGCCATCTCTGATTTTGCTCCAGTGCCCACTATCAGATTCTGGTGGCTCCTCTGGTGCATCTGTATATGCCACATTAAATTGGGGAGGAAACAAAAAAGTGTGCTTTAATCAGTTCTTAAATCAGTAGAAAAAGGAAGAAAAAAGCCATGACAATGTTCTAATGACTTGCATTCCAATGTGAGTGACATGCCTTATTTTCAAGGATAAGATAATCAAATATTTTCAGCAGTTGTTGTGATTGTAATGATGGATGTTTCTGCAGTTTATGTGGATCTGCCACAAGTATTGGTTTTTCTTTCACATATCAAGTTGTATCTATCTGCAGGAACACTTCACTAAGGAAAAATAAAGCTTCAAGGAGCCAAGAGGTATGTTTGTGAAGCTCCAGGAATGCCGTGCTCTTCCTTCTCACTTTTCATTATAGAAGTAAATATTGTCAGAGTTGCCAACAGAAAAATAAATGGAGGGAAGCAATTTATGCTGTGTATTTGAGTAAAACATATTTTGCTATCTAAAAATATGCATAAAGTGAATTTTTAAAAGCTTGCAAAAGTAGGTCTTATGCATATGATTTGCATATCTGCTTTGTTTTCCATACAACAGCCACAGACAATTATAAAATACACTCACAGCCCAATGCAAAAAATACATCCCTTGCCTTTTGGCCTTGAAAAGTTTTGAAGGAGCAATGTAATCATCTTCTAAGAAAGGATGAGCAAACCAATTCAAAGTATGGAGAAAATTGAATAACATGAGAAAAAGTGTTTAATATAAATATTTAAAAATCAATTCATTAAATGATGGCTTTTTGAAAATTATAAGCCTTTTCAAATAAAACAGAAAAATTTCTTCCAGTTTATCTTTCAAAAATCCAAATTATATTCATGTTGCTGGAATTTTCAAACTGAGGATATATACAATATTTGACTATTGGAGCTTTGGTAACACTGAGGAGGCGTGGGACTATTGAGTGTCAACTGCTGGGGCGGGTTTCTTTCTCAATGCCAGATGCCAGAAGTGAAAATATTCTCCCTACCTTATTTCACATCCATGAGATACCCAAAACCTCAAGACAATGAGGGAGTGAACAGTTGAAGTTCATGGATGCATGGGGAGAATAAACATGGTTCCTGATTCAGATGAGACATTAATAATATTCCCCTGCTAAAATTTAGTGCATTTTATTGTCACAAGTAATTAGCTTGTCAAAGTGATTTAATTTTCTTCAAAAAGAAAATATTTATATTCTCATGAGTGCAATTTTTTCCAAACTTGAGGATGGAAACTTTTCCAAGCATAAATTCCATTGCTGAATAATACTTTATATACACCCTTTTCAATCAAGTTGACTTGAAATATTCCATTAAATTTTATAAGTATATAAACCTCAGATAATTGAAGCATATTTTAATTTTTTTTTTGCTTCTCTGAGGTAGGAATAATACATTGATAATTGTTTGGAATTGGAAATATTTTGAAAAGGCAGTTTCTTTTTTTCTGGTGCAAGGAATTCTTGCTATGAAGAGCAACTAGAAAAAAAAAGGGGGAGAAGTGAAAAGCTGTCGCAGTTGATAGGTTTCAAGGCAATGGACCTGACCTGTGGGGAACCCAAAAATCAGTGCCAAGTCCCAGAAACCCGGGTCACACACGAGGACCTGGCACAAAGTCAAAATCCCGCACATGCACACCAACTTTGAAACAAGATGCCTCACACACACGGATACACTTCAGCAGCATGTGCNAAACCCGGGTCACACACGAGGACCTGGCACAAAGTCAAAATCCCGCACATGCACACCAACTTTGAAACAAGATGCCTCACACACACGGATACACTTCAGCAGCATGTGCCCTGGATTAAGCCTCTATGTATGTATGATGCAACAAATTCTTTCAAAGGGGGGTACCCTTATATTTTTTTCTGTCTTCCTGACAGGAAGCAGGAGCTAAAAATATTTGGAACCATCACAATAATTCTACAGTCCACTGCTATATAGTGAATTGATGATTATATTGGACTTATTATCACCTTGCTCATATGAATGAAATAATATCTTGCAGTTGTATGATGTATTCATGAACATCCATTTGATTTCCCCCAACTAAACAGTGGTTCATGAATTTTTGCTATCTTCCTGTAAGTATTTACTTTTCCTTATTGTATTTTTCATGCAAACAATTTTCATGAAATTATCCCTCATTATAAAAATATTTATGATATTTTAAAATAAAAAGGAAGAAAAGTATAGCAACAATTTTTTTCACACAATGAAAACATATTTAAAAAAAGCATTTTCATGGAAAATATTTACATCATTATTTACAGCATATACCTGATTTATTGGAAAAAAATTCCATGAATTTTAGCATAATTCTTTTTTTAATGGCCAGAGAAGCATAATGTAAAAAGGAAAATACATGTGAAATTTTCCCCTTCTTGGGCCCATATCTTTAAAAATATGAAATTGGAAAACCTGGATTTTCCAGGATTGATTCAAGATAAAAATGGAGAGTTGCTGAAATGCACAGTTTTTGAATGTATACATTAATAATTTATTTGCCAACTCTGAGACGGGTTGAACAGTTTAGAGTTGAACCTTGAGCAACATCAATTTGCAGGTCAAGGAGAAAACATTTACTCTAAGACATGCTTATCATGAATGGATAAAAAGTGAATTTTGGAAACACACACAAACCTATGCATAATAGTTTCTGGCATAATTTTGAAAAATAATTCATCAAGAAGTGGACTTGGCAAAGCTTTGGTAGGATAAAACATTGTTTTGTCATTTTCTAATTTGAAAGCATTCAATTTGATATTGAATAATGTGTCCAATTCTAACTTTCTAACCCAAAATGACTAACATTTTCCTCATGAAAGTCAAAACCCAAGTTTTCACCTAATAAATGGAGTTTTGACTGTTTTAGTCTATTCATCAGAAGTGATGCACTCACAAGCAAATAAACTCACCAGTGATGTCCACATGTGGTGCATAGACATTCAAGTAGAGACAGTCTTCACTTTGGTTCCTCAAATAAGGGTACAACCGGTGGAGGTAATGGTACCTTCCCTCTGGCATATGCTTCAATGCTTCTGATTTGTTGCTTATGTCAGGGAAGTTTTGTGGGCACACAGGTGACAACCTTCAAAAGCAAATACAGGAAAAAATCAACAGATTTAAATTTGTGTGATAAAATTTCTTCATTACACCTTTGGTTTCCTTTGTAAGTAAAAAGTATTTAGCTTCTGGTTGCTGATTGTTAAGCAACCTTTTTGTAATGCAAAAGTTAGTCAAGACTCAAGTTATTATGAGAAAGAATTTGATACATTCCTGATAGATTCAATAAAGTACTTGACAAACTTGGAAAACCTTTTCATGTCAGGATATTTCCATGGTGGTTATTCTTCAATACTGTACATGTTTCAAATTTTAAACTTTCTTGAGCACAGCAATTTTCCAGGCTATTCAAGGGTTAAAGCATTTTTCTCTTCTCCTTAAATCATTCTAGAAAAAGTTCAAACTCAGCACTGAGAAAAATTTGCGAACTTGTCAGCAATTGATTTGTGTGCAGAAAAGCCATTTTTGATGTAAGTACAGTAGTATTTTCTTCAAAATTTCAGCTATTGCTACTTCTGTTATGTTTTTCATGCATTACAGAGATTTTTCATTGGATAACATTTTCCATCATCATGACACATTTTTCATCATTGTAATGCATTTTCATCATGCACAGTTTTCCAATGAAACAACTTTTTCTTTGATGAATAATTTTTAAATGCAGCAACATTTTTCAATGGTTCCCTGTGCTGAGATATTCTAAGAAAATGCTGTAATACACTATAGTACAGTATATTGAAAAGCTCACTAGTATGACAAATTTTCCAGGATCAGCATAATGAAATGATTTATTTTTTTAACTTTCCCAGCAGTTTCCAATGCAACAATTAAAACCCCTGATTTTATTTTTTAAAGAAACAAAGCAGTAAAATCAGCTTCTACAAGTTGAAAAATAAACATACATATTCAAATAATTAGTAAATACTCTCTCACCACACAAGAAAATAACTTGCCAAAATTGTTAAATAGACAGATAATTCTTCAGGAGATATCAATTTCCAATAAAAATATATATTTTAAAATCTTCAACTCACAATACTTTTGAAATCATGTCAAAATTTCACAAGAGGTGTTTTCTTGGTTATATCACACAAGATCAAAGTTACAGTGTTTTGTAAATCTGTAATATTATTACACCTGTATATTCCGTCACATGACCTTGCCCGAGACCAAAGAGAGGCTACATATCTATTCTATTTCTTTCAAAATGAAAACACAATTTTCGTTTTATTTTAACATGTTTTTATTCACTCGCTTTCTTGTCCATTTGTTTGTCCAGATCAAATTTTGCAACTCACATTTCGCTCACTTCCCGACTAGCTAGCAAGCTGAAACTTTCA